GCATATCAAGAGTCCCAAACTACTGCAGTTTGCTGCAATTTGGCAAAAGGCTGTGGGACAGGGCTGGGAGAAACCACTGCTCTGCACCAATCCCACCAAGCTGCAGCAAGGACTCCAAACGTAGATTTTTCGGCACTTTGACAACAAATGCCTTCACACATGTACCCAGCCACACTCGGAATGATTCAATCAAAACCCTATTTTCCTTACAAAGGAGTTTTGATAGAAAACTTTCTATTTGCCCTAGTCAATTTGGCTAAAGCATCAGTCAAAATGTTTTCTGGAATTGACACCGTTGGTAGCAGAGCAGGCAAACAAGCTCTGAGATAATCTGCCTCCAAAGGCAGGAACTGACCTTTCAGTTGCATTATTTTTCTCGTTTAACATAAAGGTAACTTTTAAAACAGTGTTACTTTTCTGCTGATGCTGCTGGAAGACGTGGAGCAAACGGGGCTGTGTCCCTGATACAGAATCTCATGGCCAATCTTAATATCGCTTAATTTTCAAATGAGGAATTTGGTAGTAAACAACCTTTCTGTTGTACACAAACATTTTTAATTTCATGCCCTGCTAATCATACATCTGTTAGAGTTCTTCTTCCATCCATTGCTGTAGCGATAATAAAAGAAAAAACTCATGCTACGAATGTGTTTTGCCTAAAATGAAAACTGCATAATAATCGATTTCCTCCAGCGGGCTGAGGGAGAGCAGCAAGAAGCAGAACTCAGCCAACGAAGGTGACAGAGATACGGTTTCATGCCAACTGGTTGTCCCATTCCCCAACTGAGGGGTGGGTTACCACATTTCATAGGAGTGGTTGCTGTGGCGGCAGTGCCAGTTTGATTTTGAGCCTTTTCTGAACTGCTGATACACGACTTTCACCTTTCCTAGATTCCTCCTATGCCCATAGCCATGTTGAGCCAACTCCAGGTCAGAAATGCTGCCCCTATGGGAGTTACACAATGAAAGAGCACTTGGTGTCCTAGGCAACACGACGCGAAGATATAGAGGCAGAAGCACAGGGCTCTGCTGTGTCTGGACAGCCTCCAGCTCTCCTACCAGCATCCCCTCCCAAGGGTGATTTCTAAAGCACAGTTATCTACATAAACTCCCTCTTATCGTCATCAAGAAACCCAGTTGTTTGAGTAATCTCCACTACTGCACCCCACGTGCATCTTACAGACATATATCACAATCAAAGCATCCCAACCTCCTGGGCACAGCAGGTTTGGGGCAGCCATTGGGAAACATGGTGAGGGGATCCAAATCTGCCTGTATCACCTGCAGGACTAGATGACCACAGTCAGCATCAGAACACATACTGATACATCTTACCACCAATACGCAAAAGCTCTGGGTTTCTCAGACCTCTAATCAAAGTGCATTCAATCAAACAACCCTACCAGAATTACCAGTGAAAAGGGATGGGAAGGAATAAAAAAAGACTGTGTTGAGCAAAAGTACTCCGAGACACATTTGATGTAATAGTCATATGATTAACAAACTGTCATATCAAAGTTTTCTGCAAAGTAGGAACACTCTGACAGTTCATATTTTAAAAACTGACATTTTGATTCATTACTGTAAATAGCACTCTGTACTAAATATTGTGACAAGGCATACAGTGTATTTTTTGAGCTCTGTAACATTTAGGAAGTACTGGGATTTTGGAAAAAAAAAAAAAAAAGAAAAAAGGAAAAAAACCACGTGGAATATCAAATGCAGTTAAAGAAGAACTCCAAGAACGCTTCTAGAGGAGAGGATCATTTCTTTTGAGATAACCTATGTCCCTGCCACCATCTCAAGCACTGCTGGGAACTTGGCCCGCAAGGATCTTAATGTACTGTTTGCATAATAAAATAGGGAATTGTCTCACGGAACAAAAGAGCTATAAGAAAAGTGGCTACATTAAATAATGTAAAATTACTCAATAGCAAATCATCCCGAAGCTGGCATAAGGAAAAGAATGCTAAAAGGAGCTGCATTGCCACTCAGACTATCTGCGAGCGCAGGATGACAAGCAAAACAAAGCTATGTTCAAATGACTGCTCAAATGTGCATCTTACTCATCCCATCAGTCTCTACAGGTTTTGCCCCTTCCTTCGTCCACATCTCTCGTGCCAGGTGAGAATATGGGCAAAAATGAGGTAAGGGGACACAGCTCGTGGGTCCCTTCCCTGACTGTCCAGCACGACCAGCAACAGCATGCTGGGCGCATAAGCAATGCAAACGCTTTGCATTTCATCAAAAGACAGGTGATGGAGAAATGAAAAGCAAGCCCCGCTAATGACAAATGGCCTGCCGGAGCAGCAGGAGAAAACCTGAAGCTGCCTAGCCCGTTTGCAAGATGCTCAGGTGTTATTAGGACTGCAGTCAAGGGCTTTAGAAAGAAAAATGGTTACCGTTACCATTACTTACAGCTGGCTGCAAGTGGAGCTCTGGGCTCAGTCTACTGTGAAAGAATGGATATGCTGTCATAAACAGCAGAGAGCCCGGACTGGGCCATGGCAGAGAAGTCATGTGCACTGAAGATGGATCACGATGCTGCTTTAACATGGAGCTACTCCAGCACAGCCTGCCTTTCCCCAGGAGCAGCCACATACCACTCATATACTAAAAATCTTGTGGATGGGTATGCATGCCAGCAAGTGTGGTAGTAGTAGTGGTCTAGCCAGACATCCAAAGCATATTGGCACTGCTATAATTTGTCCATTCACCAATATGTTTTCCTTAAAACACCCATATGCTTTTCCTGTAGTTCCCATATGCTTTTGCAAAGAGAAACAAAAACATTTTGTTAGTTGCGAGCGATTGATCGCCGCATATTTTGCAGAAGTCAAATAGAAAAACAACAACAAAAGTGCAGTCAGCTGCTTCCCCCTCCCTTTCCTCTTTGTTCATGGAGGGAACTGTGAAGAGCAGGAAAAATTCAGCCCACAGCAAAACACACAGCTCATTTTTTTGCACTGCAAGATATTCTAGGAATTACAGGAGGAATCTTCATTAAAAACAAGTTATCAAAGATCTGGCAGCCGGTGGCATTCCAGACAGTAATTCAGTGTTGGGTGTTTGTCTGCTAGCTCAGGTCCTAGTGGAGGGCGCTCGGCACATTAGGTAACAGCCCACAGGAATCCAGGCTCCTGGAGCAGCATGTTAACCCAGCCTGGGGAATGCTGCCGTAAGGAGGTTACAGCCTTTCTCATCCTAATTCGATGCCAAATCTATCGCTGAGCCCCCCCCGCCACGTGCTTCCATGCTGCCAATATAAATCCCAAGGCAGCGAGCGGGCAGGAGGCTGGGTTCAGCCCGGAGCAGGAGTGTGGGTGTACAAGTATGTGTGTGTGTCAGGGCTGGAGCGTGTGGGAACCTGGCCTCTGTGCTCAGACTCATTAGGAAACGCGGTGGACCCGAGGCCAGCATTCAAAGAGAGAAGCATTTCTCTGGAGATAGATTAGCGTACGTTCTTCTTTACATAAATAAAATTAAAGAGAGAATCGTAACGCGGACAAATCAATTAACTTCTGAAACACCGAGGGCACCGAATGTAACAGCAGAGGAGATGGGAAGAACTTCATTACAGAGACACTGAAACACTGCACAGCCTTTCTTCCTTGGAAAAGAAATTCAGTTGTTGCTGCATGAAGTTCTGATTTTAGCCTTGTTTTCCTCCGTTGCTACCTGAACATCACTGCTTCCTTACCGAAATGGCCACAGACATACCTACATATTGATACAACCCCAGGCAAGGAGAGAAGAGCTTAGGAACATCTTTGAAGACTGTGAAGATACCTGGGGGCAGATGCCCAAGGACTACTGCAGTGCTCGACCCTGCAGCATAAGCCTTTTATAGGGTGGAGTTTGAGGCTGACCTTTTTTTACAGGACACCTTTCTACCAGCATAAAGACATTCAGCGATGCAATCCGATGCTCTCAATTTGCTCAAGCAAATTTAACCAGAAACGTTCTTCCCAAAGTTAGGGTTTCCTACAGTGATCTAATCTCTCACAAAGCCTAATGAGAGGCTGGATGTAACGGGCCAAGAGCCCAATTTTCCACTGGAACAAAGCTGAAAAAACAGTCAAGAGAAGAGAAATCAATCTCTTCAACACGGTACACAGTAAGAAAAAAAAACAACACAATTTGTCAGAGACAGCCTGCTTGGCAAGATACATTTTATGATATGTTTTTATTCCAAGAGGAGTTGTGAGCACCTGAATGTCTGACTTCACAATTCACAAATATATTAATGCCGTTCCTTAAGCTTTCAGTAGAGAGCAAACCTAATGCCATCTCATTTAGTCAACAGTTTATAAGGGTGGGTCTCTCCCTAGATTTCTTATTTACAGCAACACATTGGGACAGTCTATTAAACTTAGTGGGGAAAGCTGCCGCAGAGAGAGTGAGAAAAGCAGAAGTGCTGCCATTAATCTTCAATAACCCAGCAATTGGGAAGACCAGGCCTTGAACCGAATTCTGTTCTCTTGCTATTAATCTCCTGTCCTCTGCTTATTAATCCTTTGTCTGTCTTCTTCCTTCAACATTTATTAATGCCCCCAACTGTTCACAGTAAACAGGATGCTGAGATCTCATCTCTAGCTGGCCATAATTTACAAGAGAGAAAAAAAGTAACAACAAAAAAAAAAAAAGCAAGAAGAGGGTGAAAAGAAGGAAGGATGTGGATTGCTTATTGAAAGGGCAGAATGAAAGGACACTACCATTTAATGACACAGCAGGGTAAAGAAGAAGCACTACTGATGCGACCCGAAGGTTTGCCCTCACTATGATTTAATCATCACATCACAGGTCCAGACCTGGACCTAGAAATAATACAACCACCTCGAGTCTCTTGGTACCACGGCCCCCACCACCACAGGCTCTGGAGAGTTGCCTGTCATTTGCTGAATGACCAGATCACACCTGGCAAATGCAGCCCCAGGGTCTTCACGCCCTGCCCAAACTCAGCAGCTTGCAAAGGCCCCGAGATGCGACCCACTCCTCACCTGGAAGCACAGCAGCCCCGTCAGGCACCAAGACAGACGAACAGACAGCTTCTTCCAAGGGATCTCTGCAGATGGAAACAGAAAGGTCAGAATTAAACTTTTTGCAGAAAGTAAAGCAAGCTGGCAGTGACACCTCACAAAGAAAACAACCCTAGAAGGGCCCGTAAGCCAGCCACCCTCCCTTGCAGTGCGGGACTGCACATCACAACTATTTTTCCTCCGATACAACTCTGCGTCAGTCTGTCCCTGGTTTGATCCATATAAGGGCTTTTCACACATTAAAACAAATCAAATCTGAGCAAACACCAGACTAACAGAGTAACTGAGGTTTATTTGTTTTAAATCAAGACAGAGCTGGTGAGAGGCACTGAGGTAAGGGCTCCAGGTAACACCATCTCTTTCAAAGCCTGGCCAGATGTGCTTCTGCCTGCTGTGCTTCAAGGGCCTCTTCTTCCTGCTACAGTCAATGTGACTCACCCACTGTGCTGCCTGTGCCGTGTGGGCACCCCTACAAGAGCTAAAGGGGAGGTGCAATGCACTAAACACACATCAGTTATGGCAAAATCCTGGTTTCCTCTGGGTGCCTCCAAAGCAAAAGGGAAAAGTCAGGTTTTCCAGGTAACCACTCGCAGTGCTTAACCAGCAGCCTTTCATACTTCCAGTATCTTGATAGCTACTCTTGTGTTTGCCATTTCCTTTCATCTCCATCCCAGATGGAAATATTGGCAACGGTCAGCAATGACCCAGTGGACCTCTGCCCCACTCCCCATTGCCACAGGGAACCAGAGCAGCTCCTGCCTGCCCCCATGCTCCCAAACCTGCCCTGTCTTTGCAGCAGAGCCAGGTCTAGCTGGGAGCAGTTTCACCCTCCTGGGCAGCTGGAGAAAGGGGAGCAAGGGATGAAGAACAGCAGCGGCTGCTTCAGACCCTCCTGAAGCCAATGGAAATCCACTGAGGAGCTGCTTCCTCTGACACTGCCTATTCCTTTCATATTTGCCATGACAAATAATTCATGTTAACATTTTTTCAAGCGCTGTAACCCCATATCAAGTAACAGCAAAGAGACAGACAGGTGTCCTGACCACAGAGGCAGCATATGTGAACAGTTTGGAATTTACCATTATTATTTCATAAAGGGGGAAACAAATTCCACAGACTTTTCTGTGCATGATACATTTTCTGCTCTGTTTGATGTTGCTTTCAGGCTGAAGACTTCAAATAGCTAACCCTAACCTATGCCTCAAGCCTGCTTTAAACTAATGCCCCTTATGTGACCAGAAATGAATGCATGGTGAATCACTAACCCCACACACAGTGGGCTGATGAGTGGTGGCCCATGCCTCCCATGCCTCCCAAGCACTGCATGGCCATGAACACATTGAGATAATTCAGCCTGGTAATTCAGCACGACCATTTCTGTGTTTCTGGAGCTCGAAAGCACAAGCTCCAGGCCAACTGCCCAGCCACACAAATTCAGAGCAGAGAAAAACTTAACTCATGGGGTTTTCTGCAAAGCACACACACATAACCTGCAGAGGCTGCACTTCCACTCTCTGCCTACCTTTGGGAGATGCTTAAAAGAAGCTGCATTTTAATTACTAGCCCAATCAAGGGAATCTAAACTTGACAGCAAGGGAAAGGGCTAACCCAAAGTTACAGATGTGGGTGTATATGCGGCCCGGCTCTTTGCTTCTTTGCTGACATTCGGGCTTTCAGAAATTAAATTAAAACCACACTTAACTTCACAGAGATTGCAACTTGCATCTACAGTGCTGCAGAAACCTCAGTTGAGAGAACTCCACTGAAATCGATGGAGTCATTCAGATTTTCTCTGGTTGCAGACCTATAGGCCAATAAACATTAGCATTCAACCAACCTCCAGCTAAATATTGTCTACTAGAAGACCATTATCTTTGTCATTGATTTGGATAACTTATTTAAAGCATGCTTGAAGACGCATTAGCATCTTTGGGTTTTGGTGGTTGTATTTGAAGGGTTAAGCCCTGGCAGGTATTAAACACTTGAAAACAGCACGTTAACAGTTTACAAACAGAGCCTGAGATATAACTTTGTTTTCTGTTTTTCATTGGGAAATTGGTAAAATGAAAGAAGCAAAGAAAATATATTAAAAAAAAGAAAATGAAAATGAGCTGTGTGCACCCACTGAAAAAAAAATCATCCAAGTTATTTGATAGATACTAAGTTAAGATGAAATACAGGGATGAGAAGAAGAAAATCATAGCAGGGAAACCCAATCCCCTCCTCCTTTTGAGCCTTACCACATTATGTCACGCCTGGTGTACCCCAGGGAAGGGCAGTTTCACTGGCAGCAGCAGCTGGGCTTAGGTTGGGCTCCCCTCCCTTAAGCCTTCCTGAACACCTGCAGTACAGCCTCCCAGCAGCAGAAGGATGCTGCCAGCACGTCTTACAGCTCTCTCCAAACGTGGATGCTACCAACCATCACTACGTCCCTACCTTGGGCATAAGATCTTTTTGTTTAAACCCGCTTACCAAAGTGGATTTTTTACCTTTGGGCACAAGGCCACCCTTGTGACCGAGCTCCTGATCAGAGTGTTGTGTTGCTATAGCTCTGCCGAAGAAGGAGAATCCGGTTGGTTTGTTTGGCTTTCAGTTGCCCTGCCCATGTTCCACTGCCAAGCATAAGATACAAGCCAAGCTTCAGACAGGGATAGGTGGAAGAGGCATTGAAACATGCTGCCAAGGGAGGCGGTGGAGTCACCATCCCTGGAGGTGTTCAAGAAAAGGGCAGATGTCACAATGAGTGACATAGTCTAGAGTGGTCACTCACATGGGGAGATGGTTGGACTAGATGATCTTGGTGATCTTCCCAACGTTAACGACTCTACAATTTTAGGAGTCTTGCCCAACAATCTAATGAAAAATTGTCAAGTTAAACTACAACTATGGGAAGGACAAAAATAAAAAGTATAAAATACAGTAGTAGTAATATTTTGTTAAAATCAAACAGCAAATCAAAGACAGAACAAGGGATATGGAGAAGCCATCTCGGTCTCTGCTACTGCTTCTATGGCACAGAGCAGCTCCCAGCCACAACCAAGGCTCCGGTGCTATAAGCAGACCAGAGAAGTCTACCAACAACACACAGCACAGCACAGTCCTTCTGTACTGCTGGCTCCCGAACCCTGAGAGCAACTCATGCAGCATGGCACACAGGGAGAGGAGCCCAGCAGAGCTGCTCCCACAGCAGCAGTGGGCACATCCTTCCCTGTCTGTTGAGGACCCAGCACAGCAGCTCCCTGTTTGACAATGCCTTATTTCCACCTTTCCCCACTGCTATGCAGCAGCTTCTCAGACAGACCAAAGAGAAAGTCAGGCACTGCTCAAGTAAGCACCTGGATCTACAAACAACAGATTAAATTCTCAAGCTACAAAACTATGTTTTAGCAAAAGTGCAATTGGACTCCGTGTACTTGTTACATTTCTAAATATACTCCGGTTGTCAAGACAACAAAGAGACTGATGGATCTCCAAAGCGTACTGTATCTATTTAATTGTCAGCATTTCAAACTGACTCGAGGAGGGGAAAAAAATGCTGCGTGATAAGTCTAATTGTCATGGTTACCACTGGCTAACCCCATAATAAAAATATATATATTCTAGCTGAATGTGCCAAGCCATGTGAGGAGCAGATGGGAGACATTCTCATTACTGCAACAGCCTCCACTGGAAAACTAAACTTGAGGAAGGATGCGAGAGACTTTACAGAGCTCCCAGACACAACAGACACCGTGGGCTGCAGCTTCCCACCCGCCTGGCAGCAGCCGCTTGGGCTTTTCCTAATCCCATGGGCTGAACCCACAGGGCTGGGGCTCCCTAACTCACCAGCATTCCTCTTTGGGGAGTCCCATCTCGCCCAATAAGGTGCTTCAGATGCTTCTTTAAAGCTGATGACAAAATGTAACACAACTGCCTTGGATTCGCACTCCCACTCTCACCAGCTCGCGCTGATCCCTTCAGGCAGCCTGCAAGCATTGCTCCAACTGTTAACAAGCAGAAGAACAGCCATGGCCAGCCTTGGAGAAGAGGACCAAGCAGGAAGCAGCAGCCAGAGGTCAGGCTGGTTGATGTGACACAGCCCCACAGGCTTTGCACCCCATTGGACAAGCATAATCCAGCACCACTACTCCTGTGCAGTCCCTCCTGAAAGAGATGCTTCATGAAAAACCCTCAGATGTTGTTTTTAACAGGGAAGACTTCCACAACAACATCTAAGGTATCTACCTGGATATAAAATTCTTGTACAATCCTAACTTTACTTGCCTGATCAAGCTCATCCAACCACACATTTTTCAATTGCATTTCTTCAAACTCAAGTCTAACTTGCAAGGGAAAGGCACAGCTTTCAAAGTCCGGCTCAAAGACAGGGCTCTGAGCACCTGATGGAGCTGTAGGTGCCCCTGTTCACTGCAGAGTTGGACCAGATGGCCTTAAAGGTTCCCTTCCAAATCAAACAATTCCATGAGTCTAAGTTTCTGCCAGGCATAAAAGCAATGGAAACCAACTCACGTTCACCTGACCAGCGCTGATGTCAATGAATGATCAGTTTCCAACTTGTCTGAAGCTTCCCCAGCCTTTGTGTTTTTTTGACAGAAACTACATTGAAGTTGAATTATCCTGAAGAATTTGCTCCAAAATGCTTACTTCCCTAGAAGCTCTGTATCTCCACTGACAGTTTCATGGAAACTACATGGCACTGCCTAAGTCCCATTTCTAGGAGTGATCTGATTTCAAAATACTACTCAAGAAAAACACCATCTTCCAAGCCTCTCAAGCAACGGGTCTGAGTTCATGATATTCTCCTTGGAGCCTGCCCCTGCTCACTCTCAAGATGAACAATTTCTGAATTCCAAATATGAGCATCTTTGTGACAGATACCGAGCTTTCGTGCCTACCAATACCGTCACCATGCGGTTCACCATCACGTCCTGCTCCACAGAGCCGGAGATGGGTAGTGAAAATCAAAACAAAAGTAGCACAGAAGTGCTATTTCCGGGGTTTGTGCAAGAATTATTTCAAATACTAC